GTCGCCTTCCTGGAGAATCCAGTCCTTGTAGAGCATCTTGCCCTTCTCAAAGCGCGCAAAGATCGGGTTGCCGTCGTCGTCGGCGTCGTTGCCCTTGCGCGCCTTGGCAATCGTAGCAGAGGCAAACGCGTCGGCCGCCTCTTCGAGGAGGCGAAGGTCGCCATCAATCTCGGTCGAGCTCAACGTCTTGGCGAGCGGGGCAAAGACCGTGGCTGGCCGCTTCGTGCGCGAATTGCTCCAGTCGTCGCCCAGCGAGAACGCTGCATGTGGCTTCTTGCGGCTACGTGTGTGTCTTCGAGACGCTTGGCGGTTGTAGGCCATGGACGCTTTGTTGTACGAGTGCGACCCGGCGCCATGGGCGCGCTGGGCCACGGCGCGGTTCATCTCGAGCCGAATCTCCTCAAGCATGTCGTGCTTGAGCTTTGCGCACGCTGCGACGTACTCCTTCTCGGCCTCTTCGCTTTCGTACGTGAAGATGACGTCCGCGCTCGCTGCCAAGTGGGCCGTGCGCGTCTCGCCAAACGCCAGGATGCGCTGCTTGTCCTGGACGAGCGGCGATAGGCGCGCGATGAAGTCCTCGTGCGTGCCGGACTCAATGAGCTGCAATGAGCGCTCGAGCATCGCCTTCTCGGCCAGCAGCTTCTGCCGCTTGAGCGCAGTCGGTGTTGGCATCCTGCCCTTGTTGTCGTCTTGTGCCCTGTGTCGTCTGGCGGCCTGGTTCTAAACCACTCCGGATACACCCTCGATTGTGGAACCTCTTATCCGGATATGTCCGGATGCAGCGGCGTTACGACACCCCGCCAGCCCACACCCGACGCAGCTCGTACGAGCTCTCTTTCAAAGCATAGCACTTCACGCCAAAGAGCCTCAATCAGTACAGTGTGCATCTCCTACGCGTCGTCGTTGGTTCGCCTGTGGCAGCAAGCGGGCACGCGTTGGCGGTCGACAGGTCGTCAGAGTATCCGGATGCGTGGGAAACGTTTCCAGCCTCGTGATTTTCACCAAGGCGTTTCTGAGTTCAACGGCGTTTGCCGCGCCAAGTCGGAGATTCGAACTCACGATGATGTCGTGCCCTTGAGCACTCGTATGTCAACGTAGGAATATGTCTGCGATGCATCGCCTGCTGACACCGCACCCTGAAGCACCGTACTGCATGCGAGGTTCTATGCTTCCTACTACCGGTATATACCAAGCACGCTTCTGGCGATGGCGATGGCCGAGGGAGACTGCTAGCTCCGACACTGAGACCCACGCCGAGTGACTCGTGCCACATAGCATTCTTTGGATTTGCCAGGAAGGCGCGACAAGGCCGCCAACTTGTTTAGTTGTACTAGTATTTGAGTAGCTCCCATCACCAGCCAACGTCGGCAACAACTCCGGCAATTCGCCCGTTGGCTCTACGACGCTATCCATCACTAGTACAGGGACGTACGCGTGATGAGCGTGGCCTCTCGTACGCACAGGATTCTACATCAGCCGTGCCGATGCACCGACGCCCTTATTTTCGCATCCCATCTTCGTGCACCAAGTTACTTGTGCACCCGAGGCAGGTGTTGTTCTCCGTTCGTACAAGGCAGTCGCCTTCTCAAAGGTACATACCGGTGGAACGAAATCTGCCAGGGTCCATCAAGAGAGCCCTTGCTAGTGTGTGTCGTCCTTCAATGTCCATGCAGCCAGCGATGATTCAACTGGATTTTATATGTAGATACTTTACACAAGCTTAAAAATCTTGGCTAGCCGTCGCAGATGTGTGGCATCAGCAACTCCTCCCGCAAGCGATGTCGTGCTTACCGGTACCCAATAGTACGGTCAAGGGTATACATATCCTTTATACGGTCAAACAACGCAAGGCTGAGGCTTCTCATGCACGTGCACGCGTCTTCGCACGGCCGCTGGGGCGAGCGCGTAAGGTTGCAATGCAAGCTGGAGAGGAAAATTGCCTAAAATAGCAAAAATTAGAAATAATTCCGTCGGCGAATACGTTGACCAAGATGGTTTTTCAACATGTAGCAATTCAGAATTCGGCTCGCCAACGGCCAACAAGATGCCACTGCAGACGAGCTTCGACGAGTTAGCGACGCCCCGCGACCCGCCACCCATGATGACCCTGGAGCAGCAGCGACAGAACCAGGTACACTCTACGCGCATGGTCGACCTCCTACATGAGCGGCGTAGGAAGGCGACCTTGACGAAATCCTCGCGGGGGCGAAGCGCATCAAGAACCACGCGATAGCTGCGCAGGACGAGGTCGCTGCTCAGGACGTCATCATCTCCAACCTTGGACAGGTGCGTGCTGCGGCGTGCATCTGGGCTCAGCACGCTCATGCATAGACAACGGTCGCTGCCACCGCCGAGCTCACTGCCCAGGCAGAAGTGGCCAAGGCTATCAACAAGCGCAAGAAGCAGGTTCGCATCTCCATGGGTCCGGAGAAACCTCATGAGCTGTCTTGCAGGTCTGCGCCTATTACATCATCATTGCCATCTTGACGGTCGCGCTAATTTTGATCCTGGTCCTTATCCCGTAACTTGAATCCACTATGTCTTTTAAGGACTGTCTTCACGTCGAAAGCAGATAGAGTACAGCTGACATAGCTTCTCGTTAAGTATTACAAAACACGAGGCAACTTAGTAGCGGTAGGTCTCCGGCTTGAAGGGGCCGGCGACGTTGACGCCAATGTAGTCAGCCTGTTCCTTCGAGAGGACCGTAAGCTCGACGCCGAGGTTGGCCAAGTGGAGGCGGGCGACCTTCTCGTCGAGGTGCTTGGGGAGGACGTACACCTTGCCGGTCTCATACTTGCCCGAGTCCTTCTCCTTCCAGAGCTCGATCTGGGCGAGCGTCTGGTTCGTGAACGAGTTGGACATGACGAACGACGGGTGGCCCGTGGCGCAGCCCAAGTTCAAGAGGCGGCCCTCGGCAAGCATGATGACACCGTGGCCATCCGGGAAGACGAAGCGGTCGACCTGGGGCTTGATGTTCTGGCGCTTCGTGGCCTTGGCCAAGCCGAGCATATCGATTTCGTTGTCGAAGTGGCCGATGTTACCGACGATGGCGTTGTTCTTCATCTTGGCCATGTGGTGGGTCATGATGATGTCCTTGTTGCCTGTCGTCGTGATGAAGATATCAGCGACGCCGACGACCGTCTCGAGGCGGACGGACCTGGAAACCGTCCAGTGGCAGCC